TCCGTGTGGTCTGCCCCCACATCTCAACTGAGACCTCAACTAGATTTTCCCAACCCTTGAGCACCATCTTTTTTTTGATGGTGGTAGATTGACATGTTCTAGTTAAACTGAAAATGTTTAACTATAAGCTCAGACTAAAACAAGTATAGATGCAGTCATGGGAAATAGATTCATGCAGTCTGGATAAAAGAATCCATCAGACAACATCTAGAGTGATATAAATGCTTCCGTGAAAGAGTGAGGAAGAGTTTCCAGGAACAAAACATTAGACAGCATTACCAGATAACTCTGCATCGATACTATGAGGTCTGAATCAGTTCGACAACAGGAAGAGGACTGCTGAGCTCTGACTGATATTCAGCCTATACACTATGTACATTTATCCCAGTCTGACTGTTCATCCCTCTCACTGTCTGTTTACTGACAGGAAAGGTTAACATGGTTTTCTCTACATCAGTTAATTCTGTTAATGTAATGGTACAATAAGTGATAAAATAATGATGCATGTGTTTTCAACCTAAAAGCACAAGACAACACATCGAACTGAACACTGAATAGAAAGTGACTGTAGAGATGCTGCAGGTGGAAGAAGATGGTTCACAGATTTATAAGGGATCACAAACTGAGTGTGCGATATTTAAACCAGCATAAAAAGGGAGACCCCTTTTTATGCTGGTTTAAATATTGCACACAGCACAGGACAATAAAGCTACATCTGTTTATGTATCAGTGTAAAACTGCAGGTTCGTTATGATAGGAGTCTGCTTGACAACAGTGAATAAAGAATCAGTATCCTGTACTGATGGTCATATGTGAAATAAGTCTACATGCAGCTGGGTGCTCAGGGGTTAAAGTTATTTCGCTCTTTTCAGCGACTGGTTAAAAAAAAAATGAAGTCTGTTAATTCATATTTGTACTAGTGTCATATCCACAAGATAGTACAAGGAGCTTTTAAAAAGCATTTTCATTTTTTAACATTTTATATCTGGAAAAATGCACCTGTAGGGGGCGCTGCAGCACCCCTCCTTCCCATGGGTTAGGGTTAAGAGACCGGTTGGTTCAGTTTTAACCTGCCTGTGAAGATGCAGAGATGAACTGTGGTCACAGACAGTGTTTTTTCAATGTGATTTTGAGCTCATATATTAATTTCAACTTCAGAGTCAGGTCTGCTTTTTACTGCAGTGCCACAACAGCTGTTAAAGAGTGGAAAAGGTTTGAAAGAAATAACTTGATGTTGATCTGTAAGTGACAGAGAGCAGGAGGTAGAGCAGGCGGAGGTTTGAGTCCATTCGCCAGATTCTGTGTGTTTGGATCAGAGACCATTTAAGAATGTGTTTATCCCTTTAATGAAGCAGAGAGCAGCTTTGACGTCAGTTTGGTAAGGAGAAAAAAAATAAGTGACTTAGAGTGTTTCATGAGTTTGCTAAGCCCCAAGAGAGGAATCACAGAAACACAAGTCACAATGAGGGGGCATTTCTGCAAATATGAGGGACACTATCAGAAAATTCAACTTCATCTCAGTCTTTCAGTCTTTGTAATTTTCAGGAGGATAGTATAAGTACATCAGACAAACCTTCCACATCTCTATTGTCAGATGCACTCAGGAAAGTACACCTAACCCCGTTTGAAGCCCTTCTTTACTGGATTTATTATCCTAGATTGTATGTTGCCACTTGCTTGTTCCATGAACAAAGACTTAATTCAATTTGATGATTTAAAAGTGTTTGTTTCTATTTTGAAAAACTTGTTTCTTTGTCATACTGCATGCATAAAGCATCCAAAGTTCATGCATTTGCAGAAACTTGGAGTTTCTTTGACATTAAAAGTTATTTCTTTGCACAGTAGTTTTAATAATAAATCATCTGTATGCAACATATCCCTCTCCTCATGGTATTGTGACAGTTTTCCTCTGTAGAGTGTCATGCATGGGCTGAGTATCAGACGGTGGAAAAACACCACTGTCTCCCAGAATGCTTTGCAAAACAGCCTCTACCATGGCAACGAGTCGACTTTCTGTCATACACTCTGCTGTGATGATTATTTCCATGGCAACATTATCAAAAGTTGCATGGCAACAATCATAAGCTTGGCAGCCCGATCTGAACAGTAATGCCTTTCCTGTTTTCTGTTTTTCTTTTTTTTGTTTTTTTTTCATTTCCAGGCAGAGCAGAGAGAACAATGTCACGCTTTAACATCACATGTTTGATCTGTCGCTCTTATTGCTCCTTTATTGTTGGGTCAGAGTCTGTTTATCTGCAGCCTCTTATGTAATATTAAAGTATGATTGTTTCACTTGTTTGCATGTGAAAGTAAGCAGCAGCAGAGAAAACAGGAGAGATGAGAGATCAGCAGACAGAGCCGTGATGGTCATACATCTACAGAGAATATTCAGGAAGTTAACAGGACTTTACTGCATGTCAAATACCATGCCATGGTGTATTGTTTTGATCATAAAACAGCACAGCAGCCGTATCATGACAGGACATCATGGCCTGGTTTGTTTGATTGACCATAAAGTGTCAGAGGAGACTGCCAACTGCTCTTCACTCCACCCTTCACAGTCCAGTGTCCTCATTATCGTTTTCACAGCTGAGTTTGACCTGAATAAGACGAATTCAGCGTTCGTCTATGAGAGATTTTCATTAGAAACCCCAAGTGTGTCTTTAGAGCTGTATAACCTAAAGTTTAAAGCTTGAGCCACCAGGATGCTCTTCCAATTAGATTAAATGTAAAACAGTGACCTCTGAATTTTCCTCCAGTGTGAAAGGATAAGTTCCCCTGAATGCCCTACTAGTGTGTAAACTGTAAATCCAGTGTCTAAAACCTTTTTTAAAAAGTGCCCTCTGGATGCTCTTCTAGTACATGGAAGATAGAAATTGTAGAAACACTGAAAATCTGCTCCTAGGGCGGCAGTAGCTCAGGAGGTAGAGCGAAAGGTTGGCAGTTCAATCTCCGCCCTATCCCTAGTCCGTCCATTGTGTCCTTGAGCAAGACACTAAACCCACCGAGCTCCAAGTGTGTGTCCTTCACTGGTTTATGATTGTAAGTGATGTTTGGTGGTGGTCGGAGAGGCCATAGGCGTGGATTGGCAGCCATCTTTCTGTCAGCCTTCGCCAGGGCAGCTGTGACTGTTCGAGGGAATGGATGATGCATCTAATATACAGCGCTTTGAGAGTCACTGATAAAGAGCTATATAAACTCTGATGCATTTTTATTATTATTATTAAATGGCATTCTATTGTATAAAAACATGTAGAAAGTGCCCCTTTTACTGGATTACACATGAACCAGTGCCCTCTTGATGCCAAAATGTTGTCCCTTGACTGCATATTGTGGACCGATGGTGCGCAGATACTGTTTCATGGGTATTACTCAGTAATTGACTGACTAACGTAGACAAACAGTGGTATGGTCCTTTAAATAATCCTGATGTAATGACCAGAGGAAGCTTTCTGACTGCTCAGGGCTGAGACCATGCATGAATGGAGACAGAGAAACAGGCTGTCTAATGAGATTGTGTGCTAAGTTCTGAGCTGAGAGATGGGTTTAGCTCCGTGGGGATAAAAGCTCCAGTCTTTAAACAAAGTCAGGGGGTTTTACAAAAACAGGTCCAGCTGCTGTTTCTAAATCCACAGCCATGACCTGTGCTTTATTCTTTAAGGAACCAAAGGAACAAGTGAAGGGTCCAGTTCTACTGCACAATCTATCTGTAATTTAATGAATCGGTAAATACATGAACAAGTTAAACTTTAGTTCCAATTAAAATATCGACTTGTTGTTTTTATGAGTTTAAAAAGAACTGTTCGTACAACTCAGTCAGTGAGGCAACTAAATACATTAAACTTAAATGGAAAATACGGAACATGTTTTGTATTGAACTGTTCACTTATAAACCCAATCAAAACTCACCATATTATATCATATATCATATCATATATCATGTCATATCATATCATATCAGATCGTAGCATATTATATTAAGTCATAGCATATCATATCATATCATATCGTAGCTAATCATATCATAATCTATCATGTCGTAAATTATCATATCATATTATATCATATCATATCATGTTGCACCATATCATATCATATCATATCATATCATATCATATTATATCACATCATCCCGTACCATACTGTATTGTATCATATCATATTGATTCATTTATCATCTCATGTAATGATAATATCATAGCATAGCATAGTCATAGCATGACATATGATACTATATGATATACACCTTTACAGATTTTATCATGTAATTTCATGTCATGTTTAATCCTGACATGTTACATCAATCAGTCAATCATCAATCAATCAATCAATCAATCAATCAATCAATCAATCAATCACTTTATTTATAAAGCACTTTTCATACATGGACTGTATCACAAAGTGCTGTACATTAAAGAGCACAAGAAGGAGAGGATCAGGGGGGTGCAAATAAAATAGCAAATAAAATACAAATTGCAAAACCCCACCGACCCTCACAAACACACACACACACACACACACTTGGACACCAAGTCAGGGCTCAGCAGGAAGCCCCAGAGGACCAAGGAAACACTATCTTAAATGAAATTAAAATGGGGAAACACTGGAGCTGAAGCTAAACTAATAAAACCATGATGAGATATAGGAAACTCATAAAATGCTAATAAAAAAATAAAATAGTTATAATAATAAAATAATAAAATATTATATAATAAAACTGTTTTGAAATCAAACAAAAGAAAATAAATAAATATCGTTAAAACATAAAATTATAATTCTGGGACTAAAGTGGAGTAAAATAATTTTGATAAAAAGAGTAGACTAATAGAGAGGCTAGAAGAATAAAACAAAAATCAGCTAAAAGCCAGACTAAAAGGAAGGTCTTGAGTTTGCGTTTAAAAATATGAACTGTAGGTGTCGCTCTCAGGTCTTCAGGCGCACTGTTCCACAGACGGGGGCCATAATAATAAAACGATGCCTCACCGTATGTTTTGCTTCTAACTTTGGGGACTCTTAAAAGACCACTACCTGAAGACCTGAGGGCTCTACTGGGCTCATATCGTAAAAGCAAATCAGATAAATAAGGAGGACCAAGACCATTAAGACATTTACAAACTAATAAAAGAACATTAAAATCTATTTTAAAAGATACAGGAAGCCAATGCAGAGACTTTAAAATTGGTGTAATGTGGGCTCTCCTCCTGGTCTTCGTCAGCATGCGTGCAGCCGAATTTTGCAGCAGCTGAAGCTGTGAAATGTTCTTTTTAGGAAGACCAGAGAGGAGAGCATTGCAATAATCAATTCTGCAGGTAATAAAAACATGGATAAGAGTCTCTGCATTGGCTTGAGAGAGAAACTGGCGGACTCTAGAGATGTTCTTAAGGTGATAAAAAGCCTTTTTGGTGACATCGCGTATGTGTGATTCAAAGCTGCGGTTAAAATAAAATATAACACCCTGATTCTTACCTTTACCGATGACTAAAACCTGGGTTTTGTCCCGGTAGAGCTGCAAGAAGTTGTCTGCCATCCAGGACTGGACGTCTAAAATACAGTTAAAAAGGGCATCAATGGGCCCTGTGTCATCAGGAGACACGGCCAGGTAGAGCTGTGTATCATCAGCATAGCTGTGAAAGTTAACGCCGTGTCTCCTCATGACATCTCCTAATGGTAACATATATAGATTAAAAAGTGTGGGGCCTAAAATTGAGCATTAGGGAACGCCACACTTCATTTCATAGGTTCTTGATGAGCATTCCCCAGTGCTAACGTAAAATTTCCTGGCATTCAGATATGCTTTAAACCAGTTAAAAACAGTACCAGAGATGCCAATGTAGTTTTGGAGTCTGTTTAAAAGATTTGTATGATCCACTGTGTCAAAAGCTGCACTCAGGTCCAACAGGACTAAAACAGATATTAATCTTTCATCCATGTTGGACCTGAGGTCACTTACAATCTTGATCGTCTCTGTACTGTGATATTTCCTAAAACCAATGAAATACATCACCAATATTTTTAGAAATCGTAAAATCAATAAAACAATCTTTTCTAAAATTTTGCTTAAAAATGGCAGGTTGGACACAGGTCTGTAATTATTAGGTACCGCTGTATCCATGTTGTCTCTCTTCAGAAGGGGTCTAACACAGGCTGTCTTAAAGGCAGTGGGAGAGACCCCTGTCTGAAGAGAATAATTTACAATATTAATAACGCCATCCCTAAAAACACTACAGGAGGTCTTAAAAAGGGATGTGGGGATAGAATCTAAAACACAAGTCACCGGTCTAAGATGGGAGACAACTTCCGCAGTCTCTGCAGCATCAACCAGGGCAAACCTGTCCAGTGTTTCCCCATTTAAAAACACAGACTCAGAAGAGCTAAAATCATCAGGCTTACTGTTTAAAAAGTTTGACCTGATAACATCAATTTTATTTCTGAAGTGGACTGCAAGGTCTTCACAGGATAAATCTGAATTAAAAGGTTGCTTAAAAACAGGATTTGTTAATTGGTCAATGGTTGAGAAAAGGATTTGGGGGTTATTGCAATTGTCAGCTATTAATTTTGAAAAGTGGTCCTGTCTTGCTTGTTTTACTGGTCTGTTGTAGGTGGTGATTTGTTCCTGAAAAATTTGATAATGCACTTGTAATGTTTTTTTTCTCCATCTCCTCTCTGCAATTCTGAATTTTCTCTTTAATTTGAGAACCTCGCTTGTTCTCCATGGTGGTTTTATGTTTGGTTTGTTTTTTTTTTCACCTTTAATCTATTGCTGACTTAAGTTTCTGGTTTAAATGATCAACAATAAAATCACAAGCAGAGGGTAAAACAGCATTTGGAGCATCAGTTAAAATCTCACTGAAATTAGCAGCCACTTCAGAAGTAAAATAGCGTTTCCTGACAGTACGCTCTGGGACCTCCTGCTGGATAAAATCCATTACGTTAAAAAACACACAGTGATGGTTGGACAAGCCCACATTCACAACAGAGGACACAGTGGCTGATAACCCAAAGGTTATTAAAAGATCCAATATATTTCCTCTGCTGTGGGTGGAGCTTGATACATGCTGCTTAAAATTCATAGAATTAATAAGATTTAAAAATTCAGAGCAAAAAGAGTCAGATGGATTACCAACGTGAATATTAAAATCCCCTACAATAATGATTTTGTTGTACTTTGAATAAATGATCATAGTTCTGAAAATTCACTGCTAAAAGCAGAGCATTTTTTGGGTGGCCTGTAAACAGTTCAACAAAATATGGGAGGACTGCTAAAAACAAAGGAATGGTACTCAAATGAAATAAAATCACCAAATAAAACCTCTTTAAAAAAAAACCACCCCGTCTACCCTCTCTAAAAGAATGTAAATAATTAAAACCAGGTGGGGATGCTTCATTAAGCGCTGCGGGTCCATCAGAGCCAAGCCATGTCTCAGTTAAAAACATAAAATCAATACTGTTAGGTATAATCAGGTAATTTATTAAAAAAGTCTTATTTAAAAGAGAACGTACATTTAAAAGTGCCTGTACCATCATATGACAGCATTACATATCACATTAAATTATTTGACAATACTTCATATCATATCATATATGATTTTATATCATGTCATGTGATCATAGTATTTCCCATTGTGAGTTTCATACTGATCTGTATTTGTATTGAACAGTGTATCATTAAGTTTACTAGCTTGTCATTTGCATTTTGTCCTGTTGATTTGCATCATTATTTTTGTGTCATATTTTACCATTGTTCAGTATGGTATTGTGTAATATAATAATATCACATATGTATTCTTATACCATTATTTTGTAGCCTATCTTGTGTCTTTATCTTTTTATTTTTCTAATGGTTTTGTTTTCTTCCTATTGTATCATATTTTAATGTTCATCTCTTATCATATTTAGTGTTTGTATTGTATCCGTTAGTATCACATTGATATTGTATCCCAGTATAACTTCTGGTATTGTATTGTACTGTATCTCTCAGTGTGATATTGTATCATATTTTAATGTTTATGTCTTATCATATTCAATGTTTGTATTGTATCCCTTTATATCATATTGATATTGTATCATATCCTCCTCTCTTGTCATTTCTTTCTGTATGGTTTTGTATAATTATGTGTCCTGATATATCCCAGTATAACTTCTGGTATTGCATTGTACTGTAGCTCTCTGTGTGATATTGTATCATATTTTACTGTGTTATTATGTATCTTATCATGTGTTATAATCATAGACTGTATATAAAATGGATGCTGTCTGCCTCCTCGTTGGGTGAAGCCACTCCGAGAACAACATCCTCTGGTGACAGGCTGCAGTATAGGTCATAAATCCAGCCTCCTCCAGCAATCCTCATGAAGCTCAAGTCCTCTTTTTTTCTGTACAGCTCCAATTCTAAAAGTTAATAAGAGGTTCATGTTTTCTATGATTCATACTTGATACATCCTGTGGGCATACAAAGTATGCATAGCTCACCCGGGGGATAGGCTGTTTGAGCTGAGCGTCATCACAATGACTCTCGGTGTGTACAATGCTACTGCGCAATGTTGGTTTCAGGAAATGGAGAAAAATCGTGGAAATATCGAGAGCTTTTCGGCTTTAAATCCATATACTGGCCCTACCAAGTTGTCCATAGTATGTATAGTCTATGGTTATGATGTTGTACCATATTGTAAAAAAAACTCATAAAATTTTTTCCAGTTTTCAGTCAGTATCATATTTTTTTTTCTCTGACTTTACCTGCATCTCTTGGATATGTAAACAAATTAATAATTATTATTTTCCTCTCAGAAACGAACCAACCCCCTGTGCCTTGGTGCTGCTGTTTACTGGGTAGCGGTGCGTTTATGTCGGTTTAATCCTCCTCCCTGGCTGGCCAGGCAGTCAGATGACAGGTGCTAATCTCTGGACTGCTTGCCTGACTGACTGCCTGCTTACTAATATGGGATTAAAAGCTAGCACGCCTCCATCACGTAGCAGGCTCTCAAGCTAACAAGTAGGGTTAGTGGAGATAGTGACCCTGATGACCCCGGAGCTGGCACACAATGAGCTGTTTTACCTCCTTTAACAGCTTTCTTTATCTTTCTGTCTCTGAAGGCTTAAAGTTATTCTTCCCTCTCTCCTTCAGTGTTTTGTTTGACTTTTATCTCAGATTTGGGATGAGTTAAGTTATCAGTAATGACCTGAGCTGAACAAAGTCTCAATACAATACAATATAATACAAGAATAAGTCAGGGGATAAGTCAGGGGATAAAGTCATAATATACTGAGAATGACAAATTAAAACTGAGATATTATATCACAAGACAAAAGTCCTGATGTTAGTCAGATAAAGTTGAGTTATAATATAACCAGGATAAATCTTGGTTACTGTTATTATATTACGAGAATAAGGTCATTATGTGAAGGGGATGAAATAATTTTTCTAGAAACTCTTATTGTGAGAATAAAGTCATAATTTGACATGAATAAAGGCATAGTTTAGTAATATGTCTATGAGTACAAAGTTGTATTAAAGTCACAAGATAACTAAGAAGAATGAAGTCATATATAAAAAAAATAAAGTTAAAGTTCAGCTGTAATTTTGTAAAAATAACGTCACATTAAACTCACACACAGATAAAAAATATTATGAAGTTGTAGAAACTGTACTCTAAACAAAACAATTTTATTCTCGTAATACAACATTATCCTTTAAACATCATTACAATGATTTTAACCTGATAACTTTATTTTCTAAAGTTAAAGTTAGTTTAAATTAAAGATCATCCCTTAATGAACATCTCAATACTTGTAGTGTAATAGAACAACTTTATTATTGTTACAGAACCTCTTTTTTTCTCACCTCCTTTTTCATTTCATACAATTAATAGTTAACAAATAAGTTTATCCTGGTGATATGTTGACTTATTTGTTACATAATGACTTCATTCTTTAAATATAACTTTGTATTTAATGACTTTCTTTGAATGTAAAAGCTTCATTCTTTATATACCAAAACTTGTTGTATCATTCTGACTTTATTCTCTTTACTTAATGACTTAAATCTTATAAAAAAAATTGATTCTCTAATTATTATTTTATTTTTATTTAAATGTTTATTTAATAAGGACAATATATACAATATAATAGAACATTGCCACAAGAAATGGAAAATATGATGCATACATGATTCTTACATACATCTAGTGATGCTTTTCTTGGACACATCCTCAGTGATAGTGCCTGAGCTCATCGGGGGTTTCGGGTCTTTCAACTTCAGACCCCCTCACTCAGGTGACCCGACCGGGGTGATCAGTTCCCGGCCCGTGTCCAAGAAGCACTCAACCACTGCTTATCCCTCTGGATCCACAGCCATTGCGAGGCTCTCTCTGCAGCCTCAGAGGCTGTAGAGATGGCTCTCCTCTTCCGTGCCCCTGTGATGCCCAGGAGACTGTAGGCCTTGCAGAGTGATTTCCCTGCAAAGCCTCTTCCCCCCACCTCAATCGGTAGGCATCGTGCACGCCACCCCCGTTTGCGGCACTCCTCCACCAGCTCTGCATATTTCTCTCTCTTTCTCTCACTTGCTTCTTCCATTCTCTCCTCCCACGGCACTGTTAGCTCCAACATGATGACTTGCTTGGATGTCTCTGAGACTAGGACGATGTCTGGCCTAAGTCTGGTTTCCACAATGTTTTCAGGGAATTTCAGTTGTTTTCCCAGGTCCACCCTTAGCTGCCAGTCCTTCGCTGTTCCCAGGAGGCCTGACTGGGCTTTAGGTCGGGGAGGTGGTTGATCTCCGGCTCTTACAAAGGAGATTTCACGCCTTGATGGTTGTAAGCGTTTGCTCTGGAAGATGGCAGTGTTGATGGACTCAGCAACCGCCTTCAGCACACGATCATGGCGCCAGCGATAGCGGCCTTCACCAAGTGCTTTAGGACAGCTGCTGAGGATGTGCTCCAGGGTTCCTCTTCCTTGGCACAAGGGACATGCTGGAGTTTCAACCTTGCCCCAACAGAAGAGGTTCGATGGGCTGGGCAGGACATCATAGACAGACTGAATGAGGAATTTAATGCGGAGGGGTTCAGCCCTCCACAGCTCGTTCCACGAGATTTTTCTGTCTGTGGCTTCCTCCCATCTGGTCCACGCGCCCTGTTGCCTCAATCCCACCCACTGGCTTGCACGCTGCTCTTCAATTCCGGCCCTCACCTCGAGCTGGACCTGGTCCCGCCTCTCCTTGCCCTTGAGCTTGTTGTACCGGGTTGTTGGAATGGTTCCCAGTCCTGCACGGCCGGCAGCCACCGATCCCACGAGGTCTCTGTGGCACAGCCGTGATTCTGCCTGGTCCACAGCCTCCTTCGCTCTCCACTTTCTGCCAGTCCTCACCTCAATTCCTGCTTGGGAAACCTTTGGGTCCTTGGATTCCCTGTACTGGAGAACCTCCCTCGCTCTGGCAACCATGAACTCCTCGGTGAGGCTGTTTATGGGGAGAGTCAGCTTGTTCTTGTTGCCGTAAAGGGCGATGCTGCTTAGGCTTCTAGGCAGACCCAACCATCGTCGCAGGCGGCTGCTGACCCTCCTCTCAAACCCTTCCACAGTGGAGATGGGAAACTCATACACCAGCAATGGCCACAGAATCCTAGGCAGGATGCCATGCTGGTATACCCACGCCTTGAATTTCCCCGGAAGACCTGACTTGTCGACTGTGGTCAGCCAACTCTCCAGCTGTTCGTTGGTCGCCCTGATGGAAGCGGCATCCTTTAGGGAGCAGTCAAAGGTTTTTCCGAGGCTCTTCACGGGCTTCTCTGTGACTGATGGAATGTGGGTACCTCCTAGAGAGAAGTGGAACCGGTCAGTCACCTTCCCTCTCTTCAGGACTAGAGACCTGGATTTTTCAGGCTTGAAGTGCATCCGGGCCCAGGTGGTCAGCCTCTCCAAGCCCTGGAGGATCCATCTGCATCCTGGGACTGACACTGTTGTTACGGTCAGGTCGTCCATAAATGCTCTGATGGGGGGCTGACGGATTCCGGACTTGGATTTGGGGCCTCTGCACTCCGACTCGGCAGACTTGACCAGCATGTTCATGGCCAGGGCAAAGAGTATCACTGAAATGGTACATCCAGTGATAATCCCTTTCTCCAGTCGATGCCGTCCAGATGTAACTGTGCCGGAGGTGAACCTCAAGTTGAAGCTGTTGTAATAGTCCATGATGAGGACTTTGATGTTGCCAGGGACATGGTGCCTCTCCAATGCCACCTCCACTAGCTTGTGAGGTATAGAGCCGTACGCATTGGCTAGGTCTAGCCATAGTACAGCTAGGTCTCCTTTCCCCTCTCGAGCATCCCTGATCAATTGTGTCACCACGCCACTGTGTTCAAGGCAACCCGGAATCCCTGGGATTCCCCCTTTTTGCACCGAGGGGTCGATGTACTGGTTCTTCAGGAGGGGGTCTGACAGCCGGTGGGAAAGAATACTGAAAAATATCTTCCCCTCAACGTTAAGCAGTGAGATGGTTCTAAACTGCTCGATGGTGGTTGCCTTCTCTTCCTTTGGAACCCATACCCCTTCTGCAGATCTCCATTGTTGGGCAACTGTCCCCCTCCTCCAGATCACCCTCAGGATCTTCCACAGACGGTGCAGGAGCTTGGGGCATCTCTTGTACACTAGGTAAGGTACACCATTGGGTCCAGGTGCCGAGTTGTTTCTAGCAGCCTTGACCACCGTCTGGACTTCTTTCCAGCTGGGAACCTTGGTGTTTAATTCAGTGGCTGGTACAGGTGGGTTGATTAGAGCTCTGCATTCACCTAGGTCCTCCTCCCGGGCTGCATCACTGTAGGTGTCGTGAAGGTAGGTGTCTACTTCCTCCTTTGAGCATGTGAGATGGCCGCTGCGCTTCTGGCCTAGCAGCTGTTTGGTGAACCCAAAAGGATTCGCTAAGAATGCAGCGCGTCTTTTGGCTCTCTCCTTAGCCCGCCTTCTATGCCACTCTGCTCGGCGGAGGGTCAGCAGCCTCCTCCTAAGGACACCACGTAGTTCTGCCAGTCCTGGCTTCTCATCCTCACTTGCACCCTTGAACTGCTTCTTCAGGTCTCGGAGTTCCTGTCGTAGCTGTGAGATCTTTTCTGCCCTGCGGTTCTTGTAGTACTGGTTTGTGGTAGCACGCTTCTCCATTGATCCGAATCTTTCAGTGGCGATGCTGATGATCATGGTAGCCATTGTTTGGAGTTTCCCGTCTGGCCCTCCTTTCAAGGTAGCTTCCAGGATTCCATCCACGTCATCATCGAATTGCTGCCACTCACTCCCTTTGCTGGCTGGGGGCCACTTAACCCGCCGGTGGTGTTACAAGATGTCTAGCTTCAGCTAATTTGCAGTATTTGTCCCTGGTCAGGCTTTAGTGTTGGATAAAATATACTGAATACTATAGATACAATAATACAAATACAGTTTGTGTTTAAAAAACAGGTTAACTTTATGCCATAACAACAACTTTATTCTTGTAACTTTTTCCCTAATTTGGTTCATTACTGTAAATCCTAAATATAATAATGACAAAGTTCATTTATCAAAACAAACAGAGTGACATCCAGAGGGAGCCCAAAGTTAAGCCTTCATGAGAGTCGAACATTTGATGAAGATGCCTCCTGAAGCCTCTTTAAGGAAGTGTTAGAGGCACGTCCGAGTGATAGAAGGCCTCGGGGTAGACCCAGAGCTCACTGTAGAGGTTCTACAGCTCTACATTTGGGAGAATTCCTCAGGAAGAGGTTAAAATGATGCAAGGACAAGGGATGCACCATCTCACAGATAGACAGATAGATAGATGAATGGATGGATGGATGGATGGATGGATGGAAGGATAGATAGATGGAGCTGTTGTGCTTGCTCTATACCTCTGAAGATGACAGTATTGGACATTTTGAACATCCACCTGTTGGACTGAC